CTGTTATCATAAAAATTTTTTTCATAATAATCATATTTACATAACATGCATTTATTACCTTTTTGTGTTCTTCATGTTGTTCTGTGTGATGACATTATTTATTTTCTTATTTCACATATAAACAAATTTGGTGCTCATTTCACTCTTTATTTGGTGCTCTTTTCACATATACTTAATTTGGTGCTCTTTTCACATATACTTAATTTGGTGCTCATTTCACTCCATTTTTGGTGCTCAAAACACTCCACACCCTTCATCATCGTCTCATTTTCTTTCTTTCATTATTGTCTTCAATTATTGGCAACGATGGTGAAAGCTTCAATTTTTCATTCTAAGACAGATTGTCAATGGACAGCGTAGTTTACTTGATTCAGATACAGCTCAAGCATTGGCAGTTTTCAAAAAGGCTTATGTCAACAAGATGTGGCTCATTTCACTTGTAAGACACTCAATAGATATTTTGTCTTCGATTTGACTGTAAACGATTGCTTGTTCTCTTTATATCTCTCTGGATTCATATCTCGTGTGTCACTCAACTCAACCTAGATCAAATGATTCATTTTCTTGTTTCATCTGGCCAAGTATCTAAATAAAGAAAAATTAATATTTCCATTTCTGTGTAAGATTTATTATGAAGTGGCTTTTTTCTTTTTTGAAACAAAGATGAACAAACATATTTGATCTAAATAGTTAACTTATATCGATACCTAGTTTGAAAACTCGACGGATCATCTAGCTATAAAATATGATGCGTAGAGTCTTATTTTCAAGCTTTAATTTCGAAATCAGATTTTTACATGCGTATATTCAATTCTTAATTTAGCCGACCGATTGCTGACTGGGCCGAATCTGAGAGAAAACACTATCCAATTCCAACTCTGAATCGGATGTTTTATTTAACAAATACATTGCTTAAAAAAAATAATATTGTTATATTCAGAAATTGTAATAAACAACATTCGAGAAGACAGTGAAGATTAAGTAATCCTAAGCAAAACATTACAATAAACTATTTTTATAGTCACTACTGAATAATTTATTACATTGAATCCAATAAACCAACATCATGCAATTTAGTTTTTTCTTCAACAAAAAATGTTTTTGTATGGACATCTGCAAATATTAATAAGAAAAGTTTTTTATGCTGAACTTTCAGCATTTTCACTGGTTGAAATCGATTCAGACTCATTATTTGTATTCTGTTCCATAGTATTTGTTACTGTTAGTACAAGATCGATGTTACTTGCAACAGAATCACATTTCATTAATTTTCGTCGTTTAGAATGCCAAAAACCATAAGAGAAATAAATAATTTGACCTATTGCTGTCCATACAAGAAATCGATAACCTGTTGCTTCTGTTATACCTTTCATGAGAAGCACACACAGTAAGGAACCTATGGTTGGAATAAGCCATGAACCAAATGGTACTTCAAATGGTCGTGAAATATCTCTATGTGTATAACGCATCTAGAAAAAGACATTTCACATGACAGAATCAAGCAATGAATAAATTGAACTTACGACTATAACCGTAATATGTACGAATAAATATGTAATGAGAGCGCTAATGGAACTTGTTTCACCAAGAATATCTACTGGACAAATACCAGAAAAAACAGCACAAAATATACCTAAGAAGTCGAGATCACTTTTATTTTATAAATCGTATGAAAAGAATAGTTACCACTAATCAATATAGAAACCCATGGAGTTCTTGTTTGAGAATGAATTTTAGTAAAGAATGGTGGCAGTAAACCATCATGAGCCATTGCATAAAATATTCGAGTCTCCGAGAGCATCACATTCAACGCTACAGTTGTAAGGCCAGCTATCGCACCCAAATCCATAAGAATTGATAACCAAAGACCATAAGGTGTTGCTTTTCTAAAACAAAATTACAATGAGTAACACTGATATTCTCTAAGGAATTACTAATAACTTACATTGCTTCAGAAAGAGGACTATCTGAATCTAACAATTTGTATGGAACGAGTCCAACCATCACAGTACATATTCCAATATAAAGTAGTAGTGAAACAACTGTTGATCCGATAATTGCGATCGGGAGCGATCTCGATGGTAGCTTTGCCTCTTGAGCTACTGTTGAAACTGAATCAAAGCCCACATTAGCAAAAAAAACATAAGTACAAGCTTGCAGCATGCCTGTTACTCCATATTCACTAAA